TACCATTTACGCGTATTCATGCGGATTTCTTTTACTTCGACAAGAAGGTTTTCCTGGTTATTGTGGACAGTTTCTCGAAATGGCTCGAGGTTGAGTACATGCAGTTTGGAACCGATGCCAGGAGAGTTAAATCGAAGTTCATGAGCGTTTTCGCGAGGTTTGGGTTACCAGACGTAGTTGTTACGGATGACGGACCACCGTTTAACTCGAAAGATTTGATCGACTTCTTAGAGAAGCACGGAATTAAGGTGATGAAGAGTCCACCTTACAACCCGTCGAGTAAGCGGAGCGCATGGTTCGAGTCGTTAAAGAAGGTTTAAAGAAGTTTTTACTAGATCCGGAATTGGCTGGTTTGAGACTTAGTTTCGTACTTCTTGTTTGGCTACCGGAACACTTGCCTGGAAGAGGATCATTTGTTTCCTTCCGAGAGATTGTTTAGTTTTAAACCAAAGACGCTGTTGGATTTAACCAATCCTAGAAATAGTTTTAAGAATCATTCCACGAAACCCAAGAAAGTGGATAATCGTGTTGTGTTTAGTCCTAGTCTTAAGAAACATGACTGGATTGACAAGTTACGTCCTGGAGATATAGTTTATTACAAAAAATTTAGACCTACATATATTAGACGATGGTTAGAAGCCAAGTTTCTTAAACGTATCTCCTCGCATGTTTTTCAGGTTTCCGTTGGAGGGAGAGTTTACTCTGCTCACCGAAATCAGCTGAAGCTGGTGGGTACCCCAAAGCGCCAAGATTTGTTCTTGGGGAGGAGCGAGAGCAGTCAACGGAGAAAGCGTGCTAGAGAAGGCGATGACGATGACGATAGGCTTAGCATCAACGAAGAGGTCGATTTTTACGGATTCGCCTCGGATTCTTTCATTTAATGGTGACGGGGATGGTCGCAACAGGTTTAACGTTCGTGAACCTGAGTCGGTTGACCGTCGAAGCTTGTCATCTGTGGGAGATACTGCGCAAGGCTCATTCAGAATTCCACCCGAGGAGTTCGATCCGCAGGAAGGCCCATCGAACAGAGATGTGTGTCCATCGTCGCAATCGAAGAATCGTCTGGAGAGTGTTAGACGTTCAAAGCGATCTAAACGTCTGAAGAAAGATGTCGATTTTGTGTATTTATAATCCATTGAGTTTGTGAAAATGACAAGAAGGCATTCAAAAAAGAGTTAGTTTTTCGGTAGTTGGTTTATGCCGATTTCACAACATGTTTACGGTAGTTAGGTTTTGCCGGTTATTTAAAAGTTTCACGGTAGTCGAGTTTTGCCGAATGTTTGATATGTTAATACTAAAAGGAGGAGAACTGTAGTATCCACCCCTAGCTACACCACTGGCTTTCTGGAACAGCTGTGCAGAGAGAAGAATAAACATTCAGTTTATATACTGACTGCACTACCGGACAGACGTGCATTTTATTTTATAGTATCACGGTATTCCTTATCGGTCACCTAACGTTTAGAACCCGTGTTCCACAAGATATTTCAGTGTAGTGGTGGAAGGTGCGTCGCAAGTCATAAGCGACCAGGAAACGAACACGGGGTTGAATGGAAATAACGAAATGGACGTGACGACCCCGACGACCGACGAGAGTAGCGGAGAGCATCCAACGGGAAACGACGTTCAGAAGCAGCAGCAGCGATTACGATTGGGTTCAATCAGGGGTTCAATGAAAATGAGGAATAAATTAGGGAAAGAAAGAAGTTGCGTACACGGGAGAAGATTGCTTTGTCGCCGCTTCGATCGCCACCTAGGAAAATCCTATGATACACACCAAATTTAAGTTTTCAATATCAGTAAAACAGATTGCTGGATCATGATCAGCAATCAAATGCTTTACTGAAAAACAGCAAACGATATTTTTTACCGAAAAAATTCAGCTTAAAGGGTGTCCACGATGAAATTGCCACACACAAAATTGATTCGCAAAATTCGAGTTTTCATCCGATTGCCATCAAATTTTCAGGGATTGAGAAATAACTATTAAACTTCATTTTACCATTTTACTCGTATTTTATTTACAGTCCATACGCAAATGCCCGCACCTTGGCCTTAACCCCGGCCATAAGATTCTGCACAACCTGTGAATCAACCGTTTTTTGCATGTAAACCCATACTTTCTTCAGTTCCTCGACTGTCTTCACTACCTTAGGTCGTTTAAGAAGGTGCTGCTTCATAATCGCCCAGTACTTCTCGATGGGGCGGAGCTCCGGAGTGTTGGGAGGGTTGAACATTTTCGGCACGAAATTGACCTTATTGTCCGCATACCACTTCAGCACGTCCTTGGAGTAGTGGCATGAGGCCAAATCCGGCCAGAAGATTGTTGGGACGTTGTGGGCCTTCAGGAGAGGAAGCAGCCGCTTCTGGAGTCACTCTTTTATGTACACCTGTCCGTTCATCGTGTCCTGGGTCACGAAAGGTGCACTCCGCTTCCCGCACGTGCAGATGGCTTGCCAAACCAGGAATTTCTTCGCAAATTTGGACATCTTCTGAGTGCCGACATACTCCGGAACGCTGAACTTATCCTTGGTCGTGAAAAACAGGTTGCCGGGGATCTGTTTGAAGTCGGCCTTCACATATGTTTCGTCGTCCATGATTCAGCATTCAACTTTCGTCAGCATGTTGAGGTACAACTTCCTGGCACGGGTTTTGGCGGACTTGTTCTGCTTCTCGTCGCGATTAGGGGCCTTTTGTACCTTGAACGTTCGAAGCCCAGCCTTAGTTTTGGCCTTCTGGAAAAAACTTCGGCTTAGGTGCAGCTTCTTAGCCACATCCCTAACGGAGGCGTTCGGATTTCGGTTGAAGGCCCCAACTACGCGGTTGTGATTTTTGGTGTTGTACGGAATACTTTTTCCTTCACTTCTGGGCTTCCGATCGGTGGTCAACCGTTCCTCGAACCGCTTAATCACTCGCGACACCGTGGAATTCGCGATTCCCAACGTTTTAGCGATGGAACGATGCGAGAGATCCTTGTTCTCGTGATGAATGCGCAAGATTTTATCACGCACGAGCTGTTCTTTCGACTCCATTTCCGCGAGTTTTGATCACAGGACTTTAAAACTTGCAGGATGTAAATAATGCACTATGAACTAAATCCACCCAAATTTTCATTAAATTCTACCCAACGGTTAAAAAGTTAGAGCAATTTCATAGTGTGGCAATTTCATCGTGGACACCCTTTACATAAACTATTGCTTGCCACCCAGTTAAGAGCTGTCAAACTGATAGCATCACAGTCGCAAGTATTTTGCATTCGTACAAATTCGTCCACACCGCAGGAGGTAAAAAACTAAGGATAATTAATAAATTATACACGGAAAAGAGCCTGGTGATTTTGACTTTATTATTTGTATATTTGTATCAACGATCTTTTACAGAAGCTAGAAGTCCTTATTGAAAACAAATTTCGATTTACTGAGTTTAATCAGCAAAATGCTGCCAAATGTCAAAATTCTTTATTGCTGAAAATCAGTAAATAAATATTTATAGCTGAAATATTTACTGATTTTCAGTAAAATATTTTCATTTTGACAGAAGTGGGAATTGCTGGAAAATTCAGCAGCAATATTTTGCTGGAAAGTTTGCTGATCTTTCATTGAGTCTAAAATCAGCAAAATTTTGCTGATTTTCAGCGATTTAAATTTGGTGTGTAAAATACATTTTTTAATCTTTTTTTTGTATTTTGAGTACCAAAATTGGTATTCCATGTTACTCGGCTCCGCTAAGTTATTTGTATAACATTTGAGCCCAAACAAACTAAATGAAAAAAATCATCGCTGAGTTCCTGCAATGTGATTTATTAGAAAACGTAACTAAAACCGAAAACAACAAATCAAGAAGACTGGCAACTCTTCCATTTTCTCATACAAACGCTATGAGACAGATACAATCGCGTCATCTGCCGCTCAAAGGTAAATGCTTCGAACGAATTTGATAGCAAAGATTACATCCTCAGAAGAAGGGTTTGTGTATTTACTAATTTTTCTATGCGTTGCTTCCACCTTCACTCAAGTACAGCGTTACTGTATCTGTCGCTTGGATTCTGGCAAAGTTGCCAGTCTTCTTGATTTGTTGTCTTCACTAAAATGTTGGTGGTTCTCATACACTCAAAAGATTTTCAAATCTAAATAGATTAAAAGTTACGCTAAATCGCAACTCTCCTGACCGACGCATAGCTCGGTATAAAGAAAAAGAATACAAGTTAGTTCAATGTTTAAATGCCAAATGTTTAAATGCAAATATACAAATCAGCAGTAGTAGCATATCAGTGCTCCCATCACCTCCTCCTAGTGTGGAATATTAATCACCTATTGAAACACCTCCTGAATGTTTCTTCCTTTTCGAAGAAATCGATGTTCTCAATCAGGAAGTGCCAAACATTGCACTACGGCAGGAGGTGTATTTGATGCCATTGACGTCTTGCTTCTTGAAGCTGGAATTTGATGGTAGGAATGTGGAATACAATATTCAATCTGTAGGCATCAATCCAGTTGACAGGTTCAACACACCAAGCAAATATTATTTCACCTCTGGAATATACTCAGGAATTCAATTAATGGCGAATGAAACGAAGCATCGACATTTTTTTAGCAGGATTTATTTTATGAACTTGGTTCACTTTAACAGACGAAGGGTAAACAATGCACATCAGGAAACATTTAAATTATACACTCAACGAATTTCGTTCCGTTATTCGAACTTAGCATCATTTTGAAATGAAATTCAATCATATTGATTATAAACATTAAGTAACCGAAAAATAATAAAATTTTATTCTACCGTTGTCTAGTAATATTTTTGAGTGTACGCCGTGTGTAGCACAGACCTGTTGGAGATGTCTCCGCTCGTTTTGACATTTCTCGCAATTTTGTTTTGATTCCCCAGCAAGTGGAAAAAGTAAGGTTAGGCACTGTACGTGATTCTGGCTTCTCTATCCCCTCCATTCGTCTATTATTATTATTTTGATTTTGCACGTGGCGAGAGACTGTAAAATCATTAAAAGATTAAAAGTATCCAGCCGATTTACTAGTGCTTTTTCTCGGGAAACTTATATTAAAATATAAAGCTTGAACTGCTTTACCATCGGTAGTTCCAAAATGATCATCAAAAAGGATGAACTGCTGCAAAAACTGCGAAACATAAACAACAGGTACATGTACCTCCTGGAAGCGTTCCGGATTCCGAGTAAAAGCACAGGTACGACTTGAATTTGCTCAAAACGGCAAAAATATTGTTAATTATTATAAATAAAAACAACCCCCCACTTTCAGACGACATTGTATACAGCGACTACCTGTTGGAGGATAAGTCCGGTAACTCCGGGGCCAAACTGTTCCCGAAGGTGGTTGAAGAGGACACGGAAGCGCAACGGGAAGCTCGATTGGAAGTTATGCAGAACAAAATCAGTTCGAAATATTTGCAGCGGAAGCGGAAGCAGCCCTTGGAGGGCAAAGCCGCGCGAAAGCAATTGCTGAAGAAGAAGAATGTAGTCAAAATGATTCGAAAGGCTCAGCAAATCGAACGGAAAGTTCAGCAAGTGAAGGAAGAAGCGAAGCCAGATCCTCAGGCCTTGAAGAAATCAGCCGAGTCCACCTTCAATGCTGCCGGTAAAATTGTGTTCTCCAAAATCCAACTCGATGAAAATGACGTTTCCCGGAAGGGCACTGAAACGGACAAGAAGAAACTCCTCCGGAAGGTTCTGAACGAAAGGAAGGAGTTGAACGAGCTCAAAATGTCCGGCGATGCGGAAAAGTACGCCGAAGTGAAGAACAAAAAAGCATGGGAACGTGCGACTGCGAAAACACTGGGTCACAAGGTAAGCTTTTGAGTGGAATTTGAGTATTTAGCGTACTACTTTTTTTTATTGTTGGTGCTTGCAGATGAAAGATGATCTTGGATTGCTGTCGAAGAAAATCCACCAACGCAAAAAGCAAGTAGCCAAGTCCAAGAAGGAATGGGCTGATCGGAAGCAAAAACTGGAACACACCAAGGATTCGAAACAGAAAAAGCGAATGGAGAACATTAAGGAACGGGTGGACCAGAAGAAAAACAGGAAAATGCAGAAACTGGCTAAGAAGGGAAGAATAATTCCCGGATTCTAAGCTTTCTTTGACCTGTACAAATAAACCCTTAAGCTTAATCTTGAAGTTTAGCATCTTTTAATTTATTGAAAACCATTCTAACATAAAATCTATCGTTCACGAAAACATCCATCCTACGACGAACTCTCCGGTTTTCCCTCGCCGCCTTGCAGCTTGTGTGCCCGGTACAGCTCGATCAGCTTCTCGCTGGCGGTCATCTCATCCGTTTGCAGCTTGGACAACTCCTTGCTCGGATACTGCGCCAGATTGCCCGTCGGGTGCTGGTGGGTGAACGGTGTCCACGCACCCTGTACGGACGGCACATCCGTGTGCCACAGTTTACGTAACCGCGTATCGCTGGAACCGGTGGCCTGGGTCTTCAGCAGTTCGACCCACTTGCGGATCTCTTCCCGAGTATTGTTGCGGCAGTTGATCCACTGTTTGTCCCCATTCAGGTACTCGGCCGACATGACTGCGGTCCGGTGCCGGCGGGGCTTCACGTACACCACCACTCCCGGGTTGGCTCGGGTGAAGTCGAGCAGGTCGTTCTCGAGGAATTCGCGCATTCCCTTGCTGGAGCCGTTGTTTTTGCAGTATTTCAGGGTGACGCGCTGCAGCTGGCACACGTACCGGCCCACGCCGTTGGCTAGGGGAGCCCGCGGGAAGCCGGATTTTAGGAAAAGATGAGAGTTGGACATTTTTTTCGGCCTAGGTGATTGATGCACTTGTTATGATTTGGATCACATTTTTCTTCTCTGATGCGAGATGAGAGGAAGAGGAATCAAAACAAAAAGAGGTTTTTGACATTTTTGTCAGCTGCAGTGAAGTATGGGGAAATTTTTGAGTGAAGACACAAACCTCTGAAAAGGATTTTTCCCCGAGGTGTGCCCCTCGAGGTGGACGAAATAATGTCTTCACATCCCTAATAAAAATAACCATAAAAGAGAGCTTAACGACGTGCTCGGGGAATCATCCAAACCATAGTCTACCCATCCGGGATACAGTTCGGTTATGGTACTTGTACGCTTGGTACGCAGCTGAAAAGTAATGACGTTTTTACGTGCTACGGGATAGACCACGGAATGCTAAAGACATTACTTTTCCCACAGAGAACAGACGTCCAAGTTCGGTCAGAAACTTGTGTAACATTAAGTGGAAACGTCGCCGTTACGTGGCACTAGCATCTCCTGATTTCCTCTATAAATTTATCACTTTAGACCAATTTGGCGCTAGTATCGATAAATTATCTGTTGAAAATTTCCACTTGGCGCTACCAGCACTTAGGCTGTGTTCCATTTGGTGAATTTTCACTTATATTTGACACTTTGAAAATAAATTAAGATGTTCGAAAATCCCTCTGCTGTTGATCTGCCGATTTTCGAGAAGGTGTGCGTCAAAATTGATTCCTTGTCTTTCAGAAATAAGTCTGGTACAATAGCAGGTTTATTTGAAAAATTTCCATCTGTCAAATTTAAGTAAAAATTCGCCAAATGGAACACAGCCTTAGCACAGCCCTAATAAAAAATAACCATAAACGAACGATAACCCAAATCATTGAACTATTCCACAAATGGTTTGGATGATACCCAGAACACGTCGTTAAGCAAATTAACCATACAATTTTTATTAGGGAGAGAACAGACATGGAGGCTCGAACAAAATTTCTCTGAAAACTTGTGTAAAGATTCCTATTTGACTTAAGCACCACTAACGGCGACTTCCCCACTTAAAAACCCTCTTTGACAACATGATGGCGCTGACGTTGCACAAATTACACTAGACACTAAGTGCTAGTAGCGCCAAGTGGCAATTTTCAACAGAAAATTTATCGATACTAGCGCCAAATTGGTCGAAAGTGGAAAATTTAGAGAGAAAATCAGGAGATGCTAACACCACGTAACGGCGACGTTCCCACTTATTTTACACAAGTTTCTGACCGAGCTTCAACGTCTGTTCTCTGTGGCCTTAGTGTTTAGTGTAAGTTTTGCAACGCCAGCGCCATCATGTTGTCAAAAAGGGGTTTTAAGTGGAGAAGTCGCCGTTAGTGGCGCTTAAGTCGAATAAGAATCTTTACACAAGTTTTTAAAGAAATTTTGCTCGTATTTGATGTTCATAAAGAACACATTTCATATCCACTTTTTTATCCCATAACATTTACGTGAAAATCACATATGTTGAAGGCACTCTTTTGACAGCTTGACCTTCACGTACATGCTACGTGTTTTACATGTATGAAAAAATAAGAAACATGGCCACTCTGCAGTACATACTGCAAGAGGTGTTAGCTGATTTACAGATTTTGAACGGTAAAAGTTATTTTATTGTTTAAATAATGTGGTATAATTTGTATTATTTGTTTTACAGAGTGTGGAGTTGAATTTTTCGAGTTATAGGACATAACTATGGACCAAATTCCAAAGTTCTTCCAACCTTCCAACTAAAACAATTTGGAAGTACTCTGTACTCTGAGTTAATTTACTCCAGACGAACACGCCACCTCAGCCAGTAACATAAACAGAAGGAAAACAGTGTTCCCGCGAGTCCAAGAGAACTTACTCCAAACATATAGATTATTCCAGCAATGAAATTTCCGGTGAAACCTTCCACTCCATCAGCTGTCCCCAAAGCAATTCCACAACCACAACAATTAATTTGAAACTACACCGGCATCACCTGCCCCAGAATCAGCGTTCCATCGCCTTCGCCGTGATCATCCTGCGTTCGAAAATCTCCCTCAAGGATCCGGGCGACTTGCTGTTCATGTTCATGGAACTGTTCCATCTTCGGAAGCGGCCAGAAATAGGCAGAATGCAGAATCACAAAATAATGTTATCTAAGGCTCTAAGGTGAAAAAAAAGGTTCATCGCTATAGGCGAATTCAATAGAAACCAAGCGATTGTTTCAGCTTCTGGCGGTGAATAGGGGAACCCTCAAAAAGGTGATGAGGGTGGAAATTTTCACCGTGAAGCATAGGAAAAGGAAACAAGTTTCCTGATTAATGTATCCACCGCAGGTGCTTGAAATCATCATCCACGTGGAATATTTTGTATGCAGTATCGGGTTTGCAGGGATCCGGCTGGTGCTTCCATATATTTTTGAAGAGAAAAATTAAGATTCATAAAATTGTCCCAGCGGTTATGATCTTCCGGATTTTTAATGTGTGGTTACTTCAGCCACAAACGAAGTGACAGACGACTTACTGGCGAAGAAATCAATTAAAATAATGTGGTTCGCTGTAATAGAATTTTCTTAGAAGCTTGTGCCATCATCCACCAGATGGGATAGTATTTTTGTTTTGGTTTTGCACGAAGTTGATTTTGTGTACAATGATTCTTTGACAGTGTGCAAAGAGTGTATATCATTTTGTCATTTTTTTATGCATTCCAGTTTTGAGTAGAGTGAAAGAGATAGAACCAAAACATTCTAGTACATTTGGTGAAAATGCTAGTTCAATCCAGTAGTAGTGTTGCCATGTGGTACAATCCAGTGGTAGTGGTGTTGCCATGTGGTACACTGAAAAATTGCAATAGCAGGTTAGTCACCAAAGTTTTCGAGCCGCTCCGTCTGTAACTTCGTTTGTGCTTCAGCTGTTAATCAGTTGTAAGTGTCAGCCACCTCAGTCAGGAACACTTTCGAGACTCCCTGACTCCAATGGCCTCAGGGTCGGCACGCTTACCGATTGCAATTACGCGGGCAGGGAATGATCGCACGTGACACACAGAAAAAACTCCACAAGCACTTCACTACTCAAGAATAGACATTTATTGCACTTTCCTGAACTTTTATTCTCCCTCTTTACTACCTTATTCTCCCACTTTCTTACAATCTATCTGACCTGGTTTCTTCGTCGGGGCCCCTCGCAACACCTCCACTATGTGTCTTCGATTGTCGACCGCTTGTCCTCGGTCGACGTCCGCTTCCTCTCCACTTTCTCGTCGTGTATCTCGTTCGCGCGCTTGCTGTACGGGGTGGCGATGACGAGCACCAGGTTACTCTTCCTGGGCCTGTGAGTTGGTGACGAACTCGGCCGGCAGGCAATGACGGGGTAACCTTCCGGTACGTCTACCGGAACTTCACTGCGTACAGGTGATTTGTACTAAATACAGCGGGGTCCTAATGGTCAAATACATTTGGCATTAGGAGCATTTTAACCAAAATGGTAATTATTGCGGTTTACCTGCTGTCCTTGACTCTCTCCTCACACTTTTTCACTGTTTCCACTCTTACTTGCGTCAATTTAGCTGGCTTGCTTCTTGATAAACCGTTTTCGCTGGTGGTCTTACGATCAGTGATTATTAATTTCAGAGTTGAGTGAGTCATTGGGTCACTGCTCCAGGCTGTCGGCCAGTGACCCGGGCCATTCGTCGTTCATCGCCAGTTTGTCGTGCCCGTTATCGTCCATTCAAAATGGCCATCTCTATCGCCACCCCCCATGGCCTCCCAACAGGCAGTTGTTTGTCCATCTGGTGGCGGGTTTTTGTAATTCTCGGTGGGGTGGATTGTTGCGTTCTACAGTAAGCTGTCCTACCTCTGCCTACTAGGGAGTTTGACAACGGAGAAAACTGCACAACACTCACGAACATTACCTGCCATTTTTTACACTATTACGGAACTAAACAAAAAACAACGATAATCTAAAAAATACTCGAAACAAAGACACTAGCACTTACACAGTTCAGATCTGTAGATAAACGAAAAATAAGACCACTCCCGATGGAAATTTGCAAGTTGTGCAATAAAATGTACATTATTTTGAGTTTTGAAAATCGTCATTATGATGTAAACAAAAGGATTGGATGACATTTCCTTTCAAAATCGGCTAGCGCACTCTACATTGATGGTGCATGAAAAGAGCCTATTGCAACACCAGTAAATGTGTTAGTTTAATGAATGCAATAAATAATAATGAGATAATTACGGAATTATTGACGTAGTTACTTTACATAAATCAATGAAGTTCTATAGAAAAGTAAGTACAATTCATCCAAAAATAATTTGATTTGGTTTTAATTTAAATTATACCACAGAGAACAGACATGGAGGCTCGAACAAAATTTCTCTGAAAACTTGTGTAAAGATTCCTATTTGACTTAAGCACCACTAACGGCGACTTCCCCACTTAAAAACCCTCTTTGACAACATGATGGCGCTGACGTTGCACAAATTACACTAGACACTAAGTGCTAGTAGCGCCAAGTGGCAATTTTCAACAGAAAATTTATCGATACTAGCGCAAAATTGGTCGAAAGTGGAAAATTTAGAGAGAAAATCAGGAGATGCTAACACCACGTAACGGCGACGTTCCCACTTATTTTACACAAGTTTCTGACCGAGCTTCAACGTCTGTTCTCTGTGATTATACCATGATTCCATTTAAAATCTAATGAAATATGTCGTTGTTAATACTGAAATTTCACGTAGCTTGTACGTGAAACTCCAATGTTAAAATTTAGAATGGAAGCTTTCTTCACTACATGGAAGTCACGTAAGTATTACGTGAAAAGTGCGATGGAAAAAATCCACATATGTTTTCACGTAGCATTAACGTGTAGAATTTTTTGAGTGTAACCATACAATAAAATTTATTGTGCTTAAAATAAAGTGTATTGTCCACAACGATACATTAACCATAGGATTTATTGTTTCCACAATAGAATCTATGGTAAACAGGGCTGTCATCTGTAACCTGCGTGTTACAATTTATCCCGTTTTGTGTAGTTTTGCCGCCGAG